GTATGGACAATGTGTGTATATGAAAATGTGTATGTGCATGCATGCATGCATGTATGCATGTGTGTATGTGTGTGCGTGTATGTGTGAATATATGTATGTGTATGTGCGTACGTATGACTGTATGTATGGATGAATGGTTGTGCGAATGTGTATATGTGTATGTATGTGTGTGTGTGCACGTATGCATGTACGTATGGATGGATGGATGCATGCGTGCACAGATGTATGTGTGTATGTAGGTACGTATGTGTGTATGCATGCCTGTACGTATGTGTGTATGTATGTGTATGCATGCTTGTATGCGTGTATGTATGGATGTGTGTCTGTATGTATGTATATATGTATGTATGTGTGGGCGTGTGTATGTCTGCATATAAGTGTACAATTTGTATGTACGTGTGTGTGTACGCATGGATGGCTGCATGCATGTATGTATGGATGTGTGTATGTGTATGTATGTATGTATGTATGCATGCATGTACGTACGTACGTACGTACGTATGGATGCGCGTGTATGTTTGTATGCATGGATGTAAATAGGTATGTGTGTCTGTATGTATGTGTACAATATCACTCGTAGTTCATGAAGGTCTGTGAAGACAGCGGGCCTAGACAGGCACAGTATATGTATTAAGCAGCATTGCGCGCCCAGCCTTCGCGCTTGCGATGGCAGCGCTCGGAGAGGCCCAATCCTCTGGGGTGAGGCGGGCCTGTATATTGTACGTGTGAAACGCTATGATCACGCGTTCAAAAGCCAAACGATGAGATTCGCTTGATGCACCAGTCCGTAGCCCTAGGCGTTCGGACAGGCATTGAGGGGCGAGGATACGAATGTGCCAGGCCATGCATACAGCGTGCCACATGTGCGAGCAAACAACATAGTGTGGCATGGCGTCAGTCGCCGACGGGCCATCTACTCTCGAGCAGCCGAAGACGCACCCCTGCACTCCAGCAGCTCGGTGAAGCCTGCGAGATGTGGTCCAGCCACCGGCCCAAGTTTTTACAAGGGCCGATTGGCCCGCAGGAGGAAACGATTTCAAAAGTTCCAGGACGGGTTCCCATTCGATCGGGTCCGAGGGAGGCACTGACCCCTGGGGCCACCAGGACTTCAGACGGGAGAGAAAGGTGGGGACAAGGGAGGAGACATCAAGAAGCGAGGAGAGGAGGTGGGAGTGGATGAAGCGCTGCAGGCGGATGGGCGCCGCAGGCGATCGATCAGCAGCAGCACGCTTGGCAGCGCGCCACTCAGAGAGGGCAGAGCGGCAGGCCTTCACCAGCGGGTCAGGGCGAGGCTGGCCCTTGTGCCCCGTGGCCGCCTCCCTCAGGTACAGGGCGAGGGGCGGGAGAGTGTACGCCGGGCGATGGCTTGGTAGGGGAGGGGCGGCGGAAGGGTACCAAGCCAGCGGGGTACCAAGCCGGCGGCATCGTGGGAGGGCGGGAGGAGGAAGGGGGAAGGGCTCCCGGATACCAAGCCGGCAAGGTACCAAGCCAGCGCTGGCTTGGTAGGGGGGGGGCTGCGGGGGGTACCAAAGCCGGCGGGGTACCAAGCCGGCGGCATCGCGGGAGCGCGGGAGGGGGGGAGGGGCTCCCGGATGGCTCAGGCGCTGCGGGGTACCAAGCCGGCGCTGGGTTACCAAGTACCGGCGCTGGCGGGCGGCGGGGGTGGTAGGGGGCAGCGCGGCGGGGGGGGGTAGCCGGGCGGCAGCCGGCGGGGGTACCAAGCCGGCGGCATCGTGGGAGGGCGGGAGGGGGGGGGAGGGGTTCCCGGATACCAAGCCGGCGGGCTACCAAGCCGGCGCTGGCATGGTAGGTGGGAACCCCTGGGGGGGTACCAAGCCGGCGGGGTACCAAGCCGGCGGCCGCTGGCTTGGTAGGGAGAGCACCTGGGGGAATACCAAGCCGGCGGCCGCTGGCTTGGTAGGGAGGAGCCCCTTGGGGGGTACCAAGCCGGCGGGGCACCAAGTCGGCGGCCGCTGGCTTGGTAGGGGAGAGCCCCCGGGAAGAGGTACCAAGCCGGCGGGGTACCAAGCCGGCGGCCGCTGGCTTGGTAGGGGGGAGCGCTTTTTTGCTTTTTTGGGGGTGCAGGACGGCGGGTAAGTAATATGGTACCAAGACGGCGGCCGCTGGCTTGGTTAGGGGGGGGGGCCCTGGGAGGGGGACCAAGCCGGGGGTACCCAAGCCGGCGGGGTAGCTTGGTAGGGGGAGCACCCTGGGGGGGTACCAGCCGGCGGCCGCTGGCTTGAGTAAGAGGAGACCCTGGGAAGCCGGCGGGTACCAAGACGGCGGCCGCTGGCTTGGTAGGGGGTCCCTGGGGCTGGGTACCAAGCCGGCGGGGTACCAAGCCGGCGGCCGCTGGCTTGGTAAGGGGGAAACCCGGGGGGGATACCAGGCTGGCGGCCGCTGGCTTGATAGGGGGGAGCCCCTGCGGGGGTACCAAGCCGGCGGGGTACCAAGCCGGCGGCCGCTGGCTTGGTAGGGGGGAGCCCCTGGGGGGGAGGGGGGTACCAAGCCGGCGGGGTACCAAGCCGGCGGCCGCTGGCTTGGCAGGGGGGATCCCCTGTGGGGGGGGGGGGTACAAGCCGGCCGGGGGGTACCCAAGGCCGGCGGCCGCTCGGCTTGGTAGGGGGAGGCAGCTGGGGGGGTCCAAGCCGGCGAGGTACCAAGCCGGCGGACAATGGCTTCGATAGGGGGGAAGCGCTTGGGGGGGTACCAAGCCGGCGGAGTACCAGGCCGGCGGCCGCTGGCTTGGTAGGGGTGAGCTCCTGGGGGGGCACCCAACCGGCGGCCGCCTGCGTGGTAGGGGGGAGCCCCTGGGGGGGGGACCAAGCCGGCGGCCGCTGGCTGGGGGGAGCCCCCTGCGGGGGTACCAAGCCGGCGGGGTACCAAGCCGGCGGCCGCTGGCTTTGTAGGGGGGAGCCCCTGGGGGGGAGGGGGGTACCAAGCCGGCGGGGTACCAAGCCGGCGGCCGCTGGCTTGGTACCCCGCCGGCTGCGTACCCCCCCAACTGGAGAATGGAGAATGACTCTAAAACTTTTAGAGTCACGCAAACTCAAGAGCCTTAGCCCGGGGCCCTAACAGAGTTCCCAATTTCTCGCCTACCTAGTGCGGCGTGCTACCAGAACTCAAAGCTTATGTGTTGAGTCGGGCAAGCCCAAACAACGGACCGCAGGCTAGATGGGTATGCGCAGCATAGCCGTAGCCCACAGTCCTAGCAGAGTTCCAGTGCGGACGGCGCTAGTCTTGCCTACCTAGTGCTGCTTGCCACCAAAACTCCAGCCTGATTTGTTGAGTCGGGCCAGCCGAAACAACGGACCGCAGGCTAGATGGGTATGCGTAGCATAGCCGTAGCCCACAGTCCTGGCAGAGTTCCAGGGCGGACGACGCTAGCCTTACCTGCCTAGCAGCCAGGACGAGGACCAGAGCAATGGAGGGGCCCCCCTCCAGAGCCAGAGCTGCCCCTGCAAAACGCCGCCAGGACGAGAATCAAATCGGGTGGGGACACATCGAGAATCCCGGAGATCCGGCGGTTCTGCAGGATGTCTCGGGCGCCGCCGCCATCTCAGAGCGTCCTGGAACGCTCTGAGAACGCTCCAGAACGCTCTGGAACGATCTATCCTTGTCCTAGCCCGGTCCGATCCGAAGTCCTCGAACCAGCTGCGTGGTGCCCTGCCCTAAAGGCCCGGCACCTGACATTCCAGGCAGCCTCGGCACAGAAGTTGGGCGGAGCCGGGCGCCTGACAGCTCTGCGAACGCAACGCTCCACGGCCAAGATTAGAGAGCCCCTTCTGTCACTCAAAGGTATGTTCGTTTACCTGCTGCCTTCCACGGCGGATCGGACGCTGCGGCTTCAATGCGCGATTCCAACCGTGGCAGGCGATCTGCCACGCGCCTTTGGCGCGGTCGCTCTTCCTCTGGTTGAAGATGACGCGATCGTACTGGTGCTGCGAGCTTTCGCTCACCCGGTTCTTCAGGGCAGGGGCCAGAGCGTCTGAAACCTCGTCCATCCACTCACCCTCATTACTTCCGCGTTCCTCTGCCATATCCTCCTCCTCCGACGACGAATATTCCTCCTCCTCGGCCGCTCTCTCGCTGTACTCATCGAGTGCACCCCGTGCTGGCGTCACAAAACTGCATGACCATACTCTGTGGCCGAAGGGTCGGCATGTCCCCCTCTGGACAAGAGGCTTCGCCGAAGTTGAGGCTGCAGACACAGCGACAGGGAGGGCACGCAGCAACTGTGTTTGAGCATATGTTTTTGTGGGTGGGTGACAGTCATGCTGCAGAGAAATCTGGAGAGCTGCCCAACGCCGCTTCGAGACATCCGCGCACCCCTTTATGGTGTCCAGAGGTGTTGTGCTGTGCTGTGATGTGCAGTGCTGTGCTAAACCCAAACCTAAAAACCCGCGCGCAAGGTGCACCTGAGGGGAATACCGGATCACCCTGAACGCAGCAGCTTCTAAGAAGCTGCTGCGTTCTAAGCCGTTGAACAAGTTCTTCAACGGCTGCGGGAAGTCACCCGGCAGCGCGGGGAGCGAAGAAATCCAGAATACCCTGACGAAGAGCATATAGTTTCTTGATGCACGCCCCCACTGTACCGCGTCACTCGGTGCCTCCGCGTCGCAGAGTTCAACCTTGAACGCCGTCGCCGGCGTCGCCGGCGTCGCCGGCGCGCCATCGCCGAAGGAACCGAATTACCGCATACCTTGCAGACGAGGCAGCGCGGGGGAAGACGAGGGATAGGAAAGCCTTTCTCCAGACGAGCACGGACGGCTTCTGCTCCGCTCGGAGGAGCACCGCGGCGTCTCGGCCCTTGTGGCCGCATCTCGCGGGCTCTCGGCATGCACACGGCGCGCCGCTGCTGGCCACTCGCCGGCGCGTCCAAGCGCGGCGGCGATCCCACAGAGGGGAGGCGGCAAAAAGAGGATCGGGGCACCACACGACACCCGACGCCTTGAAGGAGCCTCAGCGTAGAGTGGCAAGAAACGACTGGAGCTGCCCCGATGTCAGGGGGAGGGGGCGTGCATCTCTGCGCGTGGAGAAAAGGGGTCTGGATGGAGATGCCCTTGAAGACCTCCCTTCTCCACGGCGAGCCGTGCGCCTCGCGGGTCTTCGCCCGCACACGGCACTGGCCGCTGGCCGCGCGGCGCTACCGCCGCGCGACCCAGGCCAGCCGCGGCACCGGCGGCGACGCCAGCGGTTCCGCCAGCGGAGAGGAGGAGGAGGAAGAGGAGCAGAAAAAGAGGAGGAGGAGGAGGAGACGAAGAGGAACGAGAGGAGAAAGAGGAGCAGCAGGACGCTAGGGCATGTACCCAGACCGCTTTCGCCAGTGCGCAGCGTACAGCGAAGGGTTAAAAGCGAAACGAATTCAACTATTAAAAATCTGCGTTTAAACAGTCGATCCTCTCAGTGAGGCCGTCCTTTGCGGATCCGACTGAATATACTGGTTAAATTAGCCATGCAAACAACTGCTCGATGTTTATCCCAGCTGATCCTCTCAGTGAGGCCGGACTTTGCGCCTCCAGCTGGCTTAAACACAAAAGTTGAACAGATGTTTAGCTGCACGCTGCCAAGCTGCTGGGAGGATGTAGAGAGGAGAGAAAAGAGGTTAAGAGGAGGAGGAGGAGGACGAGGAGGGAGAGGGCGGCCGGAGGCAGCTTCTGTGCCCCCCGGGGCCCCTCGGAGCCGCTGCGTGCCCGAGGAGGCGGAGGAGGAGGAGGAAGGGCAGGCGGGCGAGGAGGCAGCGGAGGAGAGACGCGGAGGGAGCCTTTGGGTCAGGTCGGGCATGTCCTCCTACAGGCGGATGTTGTGAGACAAGCGATTGTTTTTGGGGGGGGCCAGTCGTCATAAATGAGCAGTATCAAGGATGGGTCAGCGGGAGAACCAGGAACCCGAAGGAGATCGCTGCGGTCTGAAATTACCCTGCGACGTACCCAACCCACGTGCATCAAATGGCAAAAGGACTATGCCAACATTAGCAGGAACAACGACAGTGTAGACGCGGCGATTTGCTGTGCAAGCTACATGTGATGCGCATGCGCTGCGCGATTCACAGGGCGACGATCGAAAGAACGAGGATTGAGGCCCCAGGATCGAAGAAGAACGGGCACGGGCACGAGGGGTAGGAGAGGGATGGAATGGAGGGCGGGGGGGGCGAAAGGCCATCGCGGAAGCAGCAGCATGCGTGGAGAAGGTGAGGCGGGGAATAGGACGACGATGAAAGTGGCGGGAGGAGACAGAAGACTGCCGCGTTTTTCAAGTGCGAGCCAAACCCGCAGCGCTGCCTGCGCCATGTCGTCGCAGAGTTCCATATGATAAAACTTGTTTAGAATGCAAGGAACGAGCGAGGCGTAGCTCGCCCGCTAGCTTCTCCGCCTCCTTCCCGCACATTTCAGCGCGGGAGCTGAACGCTCGCAGGCGCGCCGCCAGGTCTGCGGGCGGCCCGCGGGAAAAGAATTCAAGGCCGGGGTGGCGCATCAACAATCGGTTGTCCATCGTCCAAAATTGCACTGGCGACGTGCTGGTTGAACGCGGAGCGAGCAGCATCGCGCGCGTGCCTGAACGCCACGCAGGTACAGTGCACGCGCGATTGGGACTTCAGGTCGATCACGCGCGTCTCCACCAGGCTTGGCAACACCGCGCGACTGAGGATCTCACTGCGGTCTGCCATGCTGCTGTCCGCGAATGCAATGCGCTGCCTGCAAGTAAGGCGGCGGCGTCCACTTGTCTCAGAAGATGTTCCCGCGGGCCCGAAGGGCGACCGCCAGCTCGAACCGCGGCGCCGGCAGGCCATATAAGGATCATGCAACAGCAAAGACGAGGACAGAGCAACGATGTATCGGCGAGTGCATGACAGGCCTCCGTTTCCTGCACTTCTTTCCTGTAGTTCCCCTATGTTTCTGCGGGTCCGAAGGACGACCGCCAGCTCGAGTCGCAGCGCCGACGAGCTGCATCCACATCAGGCAACACCCCAGGAGACACTGGCACACAACGATTTGACGTCAGTCAGTGCCAGACCACTCCATGTCTGGTTCCTCGCACACATACAATCGATCGCAGATGCGGGATAATCGAAGTAGAATGACGGGTCCGATCTGCGTCCGCGTAGGACGTCGCTGTGCTGGACCCCGCAGCAGGTTTCGAAAATGGCGACAGCTTCGTGGGCCCCACAGCAGTCCTCGAAAGTGGCGACAGTTTCACAGATCGCAGCCCCCCAGGGATGGCGAGGTCTAATCTGAGTCCCCGTAGGACGTCACTCCGCTGGCCCCCCAAGCAGCCTTCGAAAGTGGCGACAGTTTCACAGATCGCAGCCCCCCAGAATGGCGAGGTCTAATCTGTATCCCCGTAGGGCGTCACTCCGCTGGGCCCCCCAGCAGCCTTCGAAAGTGGCGACAGTTTCACAGATCGCAGCCCCCCAGGGATGGCGAGGTCTAATCTGAGTCCCCGTGGGGCGTCACTCCGCTGGGCCCCCCAGCAGCCCTCGAAAGTGGCGACAGATTCACAGATCGCAGCCCCCCAGGGATGGCGAGGTCTAATCTGAATCCCCGTAGGGCGTCACTCCGCTGGGCCCCCCAGCAGCCTCGAAAGTGGCGACAGTTTCACAGATCGCAGCCCCCCAGGGATGGCGAGGTCTAATCTGAATCCCCGTAAGGCGTCACTCCGCTGGGCCCCCCAGCAGCCCTCGAAAGTGGCGACAGTTTCACAGATCGCAGCCCCCCAGGGATGGCGAGGTTAAATTTGGGTCCGCCCGTAGCGTCACTGTGCTGGGCCCCCCAGCAGGCCTCAAAAGTGGCGACAGTTTCACAGATCGTAGCCCCCCGCAGGGATGGCGAGGTATAGTATGAATCCCCGTAGGCCGTCACTCCGCGGGACCCCCAGCAGCCCTCGAAGTGCGACAGTTTCACAGATCGCAGCCCCCCAGGATTGGCGAGGTCTAATCTGAACCCCGCAGGGGGCGTCACTCCGCCGGGGCCCCCAAGCAGCCATCGAAAGTCTGGCGACAGCCCAGTTTCACAGATCGCAGCCCCCCAGGGATGGCGAGGTCTAATCTGAGTCCCCGTAGGGCGTCGCTCCGCTGGGCCCCCCGGCACCCCTCGAAAGTGGCGACGATCGCAGCCCCCCAGGGATGGCAAGGTCTAATCTGAAACCCCGTAGGGCGTCACTCCGCTGGGCCCCCCAGCAGCCTCGAAAGCGGCGACAGTTTCACAGATCGCAGCCCCCCAGGGATGGCGAGGTGTAATCTGAATCCCCGTAGGGCGTCACTCCGCTGGGCCCCCCAGCAGCCCTCGAAAGTGGCGACAGTTTCACAGATCGCAGCCCCCCAGGGATGGCGAGGTCTAATCTGAATCCCCGTAGGGCGTCACTCCGCTGGGCCCCCAAGCAGCCTTCGAAAGTGGCGACAGTTTCACAGATCGCAGCCCCCCAGGGATGGCGAGGTCTAATCTGAATCCCCGTAGGGCGTCACTCCGCTGGGCCCCCCAGCAGCCCTCGAAAGTGGCGACAGTTTCGCAGATCGCAGCCACCCAGGAATGGCGACCGCAGGCGGGAGGAGGCGGGAGGCGGGCTGGAAGGAAGGAAGGAAGGAAGGAAGGAAGGAAGGTGGAGACCGCAGTGCTCTATTCAAAACGAGCACCCAACGCAGGAGGGTTGGGGAAAATCTTCTGACGGCGCGCGTGGGCCACATGCAAAGCGGGCGCGCCCATGCGCCGCGCGCGTTCGTGCCGCAAGGTGAGCGATCGCTACTGCGCGGCCGCAGCTGCAAACTGCGCGACCAAAATGCGCAGGAGACAGATTACAGATTACGGCGCTGCCGAGCCGGACTGCTGCACGGCCCGTGCGCGCTGCCTCCGCGGCCAACACCCAGACCGGCAGGGGCCGCCCAGGCAGGAATGACGTCAACGCCCGCCCTTCTCCTCCTGCACCACATCTCTCCGCAACTCCTCCCCTGCACCCCCCCACTAAAGCGGTCGCGCGCACGGGCGGGCGGAAGCTACTTCAGCAGAACTGTCCCGTCGAAGGGGATGGGCGCACAGAACCCAAAGCGCTCAGTGCGGCACGTGCGCAACGCCATATTCGAGAGAACGTCACTATTCTGTGGAAGAGAAAAATGGTAATGTGATTACACTGGAGAGCCCCGCTCTGCACTTGCCGGGCGCGTGCGCGTAGTTGCTCTTGGGCCCCCCATGGGCTCGACTCTGCAGCTCAGAGCCCCCCCCCCCTTCTGCGCGGCGCCGGGCGCAAGCGACCCGCCGCGCCCTACGCCGGCGAGCCACTCGAGGCAAAGTGGCACGACCGGGCCCCGGACCTGAACGCGGCGCGCGGCGCCGACGACGGCTTCAACGGCACGAGGGGCTCCGAGGCCTCCGCGGTGGCGGTGTCTCCGCGGAGCCGCCGCGCGCGGAGCGCCAACGCCGCCGCGCCCGCCCAGTTCGTCGGCTCGCCCGCGGCCCCGCCGTCGGGCTCCGCGGCGTCGGCGGGGGCGGCGCTGCTGCCCGCCGCAGGGGGCGCCGCCTCAGGCGCGGGCCGTAGCCGCGGCTTGAAGGCGGCGCGCTCCTCGTCGGTGATCTGGGGACGGTATCGCACGCCGCCCTCGTTGAGGTCTCTTAGGGAGAAGCGCTGCGCCTGGCGCATCGCGGGGCGGGCGGGGGACTCCTCAAGCAAGGTGGCGCCCTGGTCGCCGCTGAGAAGACGGGCCGTGTGGCGCGCCTCCGCCATCGCGGGGAACTGCACGCAAAGCGTGGTCGGCTGAGCCAAACTGCTTGGAGGCTGCAACGGAAGAATCTTGAGCCAGAATGTCTTGAGCCAAAAGGAGGAGGAGGAGGAGGAGGAGGAGGAGGGAGGACGGGGAGGAGGGATGAGAGGAGGAGGCGGAGGGAAAGGTGGTGAGGAGGAGGAGGGAGCCTTTCGCGTTGTCCCCCGCCCCCCCCCCCCCCCCAAGGTGGGCAGGCGCGCGGGCCGGATTTGTTGCTGGCCCGCCCTCGCCGCGGGGGCCCAGGTTTAGGTCGGGCCTGTCCCCCTGCAGGGGCATCTTCGACTGAAAAAAAATTACCCTGCGACGCACCCAACCCACGCGCATCAAATGACAAGAGGAGTATGCCAACATTAGCAGGAACAACGACAGTGTAGACGCGGCGATTTGCTACGCAACCTACATGGGATGCGCATGCGCTGCACGATTCGCAGGACGACGATCGAAAGAACGAGGCTTGAGGCCCCAGGATCGAAGAAGCACGGGCACGGGAACGAGGGGTATGAGAAGGATGGAATGGAGGGCGGGGGGGGGCGAAAGGCCATCGCGGAAGCA